AGTCATTTTTACACCTTGCTTTTCTCGCGACACAGCAAGAAAATTTTTACCAGAGTAATATTAATGACCCGGAAACTAATGAGTGCGTTATTGTCTGTGATTTTACGGAAAACTGTGATTTTGTTATACAAAATGCTGTGCCTGGCTTCCACTGGAACAATAACCAGGCAAACGTTTTTACAGTTGTAATATATATTATTATAATGATGGCGTTGCCGATCGCAGAAGTCTCGCAATAATTTCAGATTGTTTGCACCACGATTCTGTAGCGGTTTATATTTTTCTCCAAGAAACGGTCAAATTTGTGTCCTCGTTGAGTCGTGATATAGAAAAATGTATATTTTTCGGATGGTGCTCCACAGCAATTTAAAAATTTTAAAACATTTTTAAACCATATGTAATTTCGAAAATGATTTTCACAAAAAAGTGGAGTGGCATTTTATCGCATGGCAAAGGCCTGTGTGATGATGTTGGCGGTACATTGAAGAGGTACGCAACAAGAGCTAGTTTGCAAAAAAATACCGACCCAATTACAACTTCACTAGAACTGTACAGTTGGGCTTCGAAATCTTTATCGTTACCTAATATAACCGTTAAATATGTTGATACTGATACTTATGAATCAGCCAAACTTCTTCTGAAACCTCGATTTGAGAAAACAAACACTCACAGGCTACATTGCATTACGACCGACAAAGACAACAATTTATATTGTTAAGCAATACTCGTCTTCTGAAACTTCTGAACTAGTATCTATATTGAAGGGAGCATCTCGAAAAAGGAAAAGATTAGTTTGAAATTAATAAAAATGTGTATATTACACTTCATTATTATTTTATGTCTTAATTTTAGTTATGCGTTAATATCATATAAAATATCTAAATTCTTATTTATAATAAACAGTAAAATAATAATTATTATTAACTAAAAATATTTATTAATTGTTTATACATTTATATAATAATAAAATATATTGTAATTATTTATGTATGTGGAATATGGCTCGACTATTCTCAAACTCATCCGCTACAACTAGAACACTGTTTTGTTTTGAACAAAGTGTCACACCATTCCAAAAATTTGGAATTAATATCGTTATTGATTATACTTCACACTGTCAAAGTATAAAAAAAAATCAAAAAAGTCCAAATAGCAAAAAAAAAAAATTTTCCTCTTTCAAAAAATGAATTTTTTTTATATTGAAAACAAAAAAATTTTATATTTTAATGTTGACTTTCTTAAAATTTGAGAAAAATCACTTCCAGAAAGTGTATTTAAATATTTTTGTTGTTGGATGGCAATACGTTAAAAAATTACTTGCAAAGTCGTGTGAGCAAAAAAGCGAAATTTTCAAAAATTCGTATTGTCAAAAATATGCAATTTAAACAAAGACGCAAAAATACGGGTCGATTTGTTTTCAATAAAGAACAATATAAAAAAATTTTTATATAATTTTTGGATGATGGGTGCAAATTTTGTATGGATAATATTGTGAATATGTTGCGAGAGAGAGAAATGATATGTTGCGAGAGAGAGAGAGATGGTTTGTTGTGGATGCGGGTCACGTGTGTCGGGACGACCGCAACTCATTTTCAATCAATGATGAGAGCGGTCATGAGACAATCTAATAGAATTAAATTGGTGTGGGCCCATCCCACTCTCAAAATTTTCCGGTGATTGATTTCTTTTTCTTAATTCTTTAATGAGTATCAACCATTTGGGGGGATTGGTCAGATATCCGGCAGATGGCGCTTTCTGGCCTCTTCATCTGTCTCCACAAAGATAGGATGTTTGATATAAATAATTGTAATAATTAATGGTTATTTGAAAGACTCAATGATTTAACTGACTTCCCCATTGATTTCGAATAAAACTCCTGTCGTCTGCGTTTCCGGAAAATAGATTTCCCCACAATTCGAAATCTTTCCTTGAGGAAAAAAAAAATGAAATGTCACGTGCAGTTTAAGTGCATCTTGAAAATTAATATATTAATGTGAATGTAAACAGTCCCTGACCACATTATGAGACGCACTGTAAGATTCTATGTAAAATCTTAATGATCAGGTGATTTCAGGTGATCAGGTGATTCAGGTGATCAGGTTTGCACTTGTTTACGTTTCTTAAGGAATGGGTTAATATCCATATTTCTCTTACACGGCACCAAAAAAAAAGCCTCATTACAACTCCCCGAATGGCAACGTTAGAAAATCGACCAATGATTGCTGCTAAAAATGTCACATGGCAAATCTATATGAGGTGGCTCAACATATAGCGCTTTTAAAAACGGAAGCAATAACCAGAGTGAGCATTATCAGGTTGTTCAATTCAGATTCATGCCCCAAAAACATTATAGTATTTAATTTAAACTCAATTAGGAATTAATTAATTAATTGAAGTGAGAATGCGTTAAAAGGCCGCTGTTGAATTTATATTTTTCTACTGGGAGCTACCTAAGCGTCTAAAAAACGTCTAAGTGTTTGTATTGAATGCATTGAATTTTTTGATTTATGTATGAATTTATTATACACATTTAGTTGAATTTAGGTGAGTAACTGCAATATTTGATTTTATTTTGCTAATATGTTTCTCATTTAGCTAATGTTTTGATTTTTGCACCATGTGCAATCGAAATAGCTAATATACTTTTTAATAGCCAATAAGAACATTGATAGAATTCTTCTACATAAGTACAATACTATGTCTTTGATGATAAAATACTATGTCTTTGATGATAATATACTATGTCTTTGTGCTAGAACATTGTGTTCATTGGCGAGCGAGCGCAGCGAGCCATGGTTCACGGCGTGAACCACATAGGATTGCGTAGCAATTCTCGGGGGTTGGCGAGCGTTAGCGAGAAGGGGGCGGAGCCTCCTAGTATTAGTATATTATAATAATTGGATCAAATGATTAGACGCACTGTAGTGTTTTAATAATGACAAGTTTTGCACGAGTTTATCGGCAATACTTTTATATTTAAACACGCATGCAATGAAAGAGATTTTTCATATACTTCAATGTTCTAGCATTCACAAGCCAGGATAATGACAAATTCGCCCTTTTATAGCATATAACATTACTTTAATTTAATATTTTGGCCTAAGGCGTTTATATTCTGTAGAAAACAACAGGATTTCTTAAAATAACTCAGATAAATCTATGTATAGTTTATGTATTTAATGATTTCAAGAAGCCAGGAAAATGACAACACAAAAACCTACTCACCATGAAAACTTTATTGAAATAAGTTTGAATTGGTTCTTTATTCATGCAACAAGACATGTTCATATAGGATTGAATCTAATTAATCTATTAACATAAGATATTGATTGCTGGCTCTATCTATTTTAGTTATAAGCCACTAAATAAAAATAGCCAGGAAAATGACATATTTTCTTGGGACAAACAAATTATTGACAGAAAAATTTTTTAAACGAAGTTTTTTTAAATAATACCCTCTGCGTATATTCTAGAAATGCTTACACAGGTTGAGATACAAAAAATTAGATATTGAAATATGTATGGAAAGTTTTGAAGCAAGTTACAATTTGAAACATTGTTTGTGACATACCAGGAAAATGACATTTTGAAGTTCAATTAAATTTTTTAACTATACAAAACAGTCACTGCTAGTGCAAAGTCATTTTAAAATGCTGACAGCAATGCTATTTATAAATATTTTTTAAAAAAAAGTTCTTTTAGTATGCTGGTATTAGATCTTGGAGCAAGGGACTGTGTCATATTTCGTGAGAATCCCCCATATATGTATATAAAATTGAGGGAACTGAGATAGGAAAAGCAAACAAGTTTCAAAATGAGCGAAAAATGAAGAAAAAATAAATCTATGGAAGACAGAAAAAAGTTCATACTATCCTCTCCTCTTTTGGTTCATTCGATCCACAAAAAATAATATTACAGCAAGGCACGGGAACGAACATTTCGTTCACTCTAATCCGGGAGTTCACTATGAACCATGTTCACTATAGCGGGGTTTGACTGTACATCTATATATAAACGTTATTTGCACCTCGAATGACATAATTAATATTTCGCCGAATTCTTTTATTGCCGGGAGAGAGGAGATATTTTTCCATGAACACTTCTACGGAAAAAGAGAACAGAAGCATTTCTTCTCCGAAAGTTCATTATCAAAGAGAAAGAAGAAGAAGGGGAGGGGGAAGAAAGAAAGAAAATAATTAGCGTGGCGTGCCACTAAACTCTCATTCAACATCTTTGTTTATTTTTTTAATGAAAGGCATCGAAGCATGACATTGAATTCTGAGAGGTGGCGCCTATTAAAACATCGGGAGCTATTTATAAACGCCTTTTGCCACTCTGGCAACCCCCCCTTTGCCTCTTTATTATTATTATTATTATTTTGCGTGGCAACGGCTCATAGTGTCGACAAGAACGAGAAGAAAAAAAATAAAATTCTCTTCCATAAGGAGTTCCATTAAAAGATCAGTCACACGAAAGCCCAATGGATTGACTTATCTTAATACAATCGAACCTCGCTATAGTGAACTTTCAAGGGACCGAAATTTCGGTTCACTATAACCGGGAGTCCGTACTTTAACTCATTTTCCCGCACCCTTTTATGACACATTATTTAAATAAATGACCCATCAGAAGAAATATAAAAATGATTAAAAAACAATATGGAGTCACAAAAGATGTGTTCACTTTTATGACTCTTCGTCTTGCGTGCAAAAAATGAAGAGATGGGAAACTATGAGATAGAAGAAGCAAACAAGAGAAAATGCTTATGGCTACATTCCACTCCTCAATAGATGATTTTAAAAATCGGTATATGTATTTTACGTAGAAATTTCGAAATGATAAAAAAAATAAAATAAAATAAAATAAAATAAAGAAGAAAAAAATCAGTGGAAGACAAAAAAGTTCACAATCTCCCTTCTTTTGGTTTCACTCTATCGACAAAAAATAATATTCCATGCGTGTGTAGAGTGAGGTACACTGTAAAAAGAATGCTGACATACCTGGATAGACCATTGCAGAGCGGGATGAAGGGTCGAGTGATGTGGCCATCGGACTGACAGAGTATCGGGGGCTGTAGGTGAAGTGTGGATTGGGGGTGTAGGTGGTAGTGGGTGGAGGGCCGTACTGGTGATGGAGGGGCATTTCGGGGCCTCGGTACGCGGTGAACAGGCTACCCGAGGCTCCCCCGTTTCCTCGGGGTGCCATGCCTTCCCCTTGCGTCGGCCACAGGGTGTCTGAAACAAGAAAAAAGTAGAACATTAGAACTAATCACTCGGACATTGTTGTAAGAACTTCCTTTCATTCTATTGAAATGTCATTTGTGACACCTATCACTATCGGCTTTTGTAATTCTACAAACGCGATTTTTTTATTTATTACTAAATAACAAACATCGTGTCGTCAGCTCACACTATTATATCCGCAAATTAGAATGCTTTTTAATAGTGTATCAATGCATCCAAAGTAAAGTATATAAATACAAGGTATTATGAATTATATCTTTTTGATATAATTTTATAACAAAAATATATCATAGATTGACAAGATTATAACAAAAAGATATATTCTTGTCGTCAGCTTACACTATTATATCCGCAAATTAGAATGTTTTCTAATGGTGTATCAATGCATCCAAAGTAAAGTATATAAATACAAGAGATTATGAATTATATCTTTTTGATATAATTTTAGAACAAAAATATATCATAGATTGACAAGATTAAAACAAAAAGATATATTCTTGCCGTCAGCTTACACTATTATATCCGCAAATTAGAATGCTTTCTAATGGTGTATCAATGCATCCAAAGTAAAATATATTAATACAAGAGATTATGAATTATATCTTTTTGATATAATTTTACAACAAAAAGATATCAAAGATTGACAAGATTATAACAAAAAGATATATTCTTGTCGTCAGCTTACACTATTATATCAGCAAATTAGAATGCTTTCTAATGGTGTATCAATGCATCCAAAGTAAAATACATAAATACAAGGTATTATGAATTATATCTTTTTGATATAATTTTATAACAAAAATATATCATAGATTGACAAGATTATAACAAAAAGATATATTCTTGTCGTCAGCTTACACTATTATATCAGCAAATTAGAATGCTTTCTAAATAAATAATAAATAAAAAATGCTTTCTAAATAAAATAGAAAATTTTAAAGAAGTGAACAATGAGAAATATAAAAATGACAACCGAAGCTGATGTCAGCTTCGGTTGTTATTTTTGTATTTCTCATTGTTCACTTCTTTAAAATCAATTTCATTTCAATTTTGTGATGGAATTTCTGATACATTGCGCAACTTTATTCTAGAATTGCAGTATTGAACTGCCTTATACATGATTTCTGTTTTTATAGACAAGAGATCATGAATTATATCTTTTTGTTTTCATGCCGTCACTCACCAAACCCGAATATTCTTTTTTGGCCATAAAACAGTTATTTATTTTTTTGAAAGTTCAAATTATTCGCTTAAAATATTGTGTTTGTTCCCCGCTTTCAAACATTTCCTTATGATTTCTATTAGTTAACATGAATAAATTTGTTTAGCAATCAATTTTTCAAATAACATTTAAGATTAAAGCTATATTGTTAAAAAAAAATTGGTGAGTTTACAACCATAATTTAATATTTTTAATGATGTATAAAAGAATGATGTATAAAATACAATTACACAAAATGGATTATCACATTCTTAATTATTTAATGAATCTCTTTAACTGTATTTTATAATGATATATTAATGTAATTAAAGGATCACAGTGCCAATGCCAAATTTTTTTGTTAAATAAAGGTATAATCATTCATTTTGTGGAAGCCTTACATGCTCATTTAACTTATAATCAAAAATTTATCATGAAAAAATAATTAAACTGTTTAATTTTTTTTTAAATTTTAAACAAATTAAAAAAAAATTCAAAATTTTAAAATCCTTAGGCTTTTTTTCATTTCATCATATTTTCAAAATTTTTTTTTCTTAGTGCTTACAATATTCATCTTAACAATTTTGTGCATTCATTTGATGATATATAGATTAGAACATTTTTTATAGATAATTCTTGAAAAAAGTAGAAAAAAAAAGTTAAAAATACCATTTAGGTAAATATAACATGCTGTAAAAATTGAAATACCTCATGAAATGCTTATTCCAATCCACAATTTAAATGCGTGTATTATAATTAAGATGAAAAAGTTTACATCAAAGCTATATCTTAAACAGAAAAAATTCCTTAGGGATTTAATTAAGATTGGAACATAAAATTATCATCTATGAGAAAAGGCACTTTGAAGTCTGTCTTCTGATCAAGTTTCTGTTTTAGGGCAATCTAAAATCATTCGTAACTATTTTAAAAATGTAGATCGAGAGATGATTTTCTTCCAGTGCATTTGAAATAGTTTGAAGTTTTATTATGAGCAATAAAAATATATATATCGATATTTTGGTCATTTTTTTTTTGTGTGCTTTGACCCCTTAACACCAAAACAATAATAACTTGTAAAACTTTTAATAAGTTTAGTCACCGATTTAAATATGTTTTATTTTAAAATATAACTTCATAAGGATATGTTATAGAATCACGTCATAATAAAGGAGCAACTCTTATGGTTTTAAACTCTTAATTTAGAAAACAATCAAAATACAAAACAGAGTAGAATAAAAGAAATAAATTTTACATGTCACATTTAAGTTTTGGATACAAAAATATTTTATAACGAAACAATAGAGGTGACACCACTTCACTTTCCTGTCCAATCCATCATCCAATATAAATTATTTTGGAATCGTCCAATAGGAATAGTGATTGAATGATATTGGAACATTCATCTCAGTTGAACATCTCATTTTATGCTGATAACAGCTTAAAAAAAAGGGGGTATTAATGGGAAAATTGGATCTTACCATACGATTATCTGGTCAATCAAAATACAATTGAAAACTATGTTATCCCATTATGTTACATAGAGACTTCAGTTTGGTAAACAATGTTTGCAGCAGCATTTTTTTTCTCACTATTATACCTGCCAATATGGATAGGGAAAAATCCAGTACACTGTTAAAAATTTCTTGGAAAAAATGGCTAAATAATAATCTGTTTAATTGTTATTTCACTCCATTTAAACAAAGCAGTCAAACAACCATAAATATAGAAGGTAATGAAACTATTAACAGTGAGAAAAATCATTTATTAACTATTTTTACCTAAAACGGTTAATTAAGAAGAATTTTGCTGTACCCACTCAGCCCACCTCATGAAGTCCTTGCAACTGCTTACAGATTATAGCCGAGAGAGCTGATCTCATGATTGACAGAACGGGGGTTCGAATCCCAGCGTTGACATTCCCTTTAACACACATGAAGTGTTCTGCACTCTCCAATACCCATTGTCTAACGAGCTCTATGCCCAGTTAATTTTCTATTTTAATGGTTTCGAAATCATGGTGGCTACAAACGGTTAAAAAACCGTATAGTTTTGTTTTCATGATTTTATAACCATACTAGTTGTAAACGGTTTCAAAACCGAAAAGGTGAAAATCTTCTTTACGGTTAATTGGATTGCTGCTGATTTTTTGACCGTAATTTAAGAATGAAATTTCTAACAGCGCAAATTTTACAAAATAAAATAAACTTCATGATAATTGCTGCATAATGCACTAAATATTTCACACAATTTCACAATTCAATTTTAGGTATTGTTATAATCATCAAATTAGAAAAACTGCACTACTTTCCAGTTATGATGGACATCAAGCATACTTGAAATATTGTGTATTATGTTTACTCGCAATTTCAAATATTAATAGGTATTTTAATTCATCCAAAAATAGTTAAAAGATGTTTTTAAAATTAATTTAAAGAGAGAGTTCTGAATTAAAGTAAACTGAGCATTCTTAGAACAAAACTAAGTTTTGAACTGATTTCTATAAATGAAGTTCGCTTCATTGTCTATTAGTAATACTTATTTCAATATTCAAGCAAGCAATAATCTGTGAAAAGATTATATTTAAATATCGATTTTAGGAAATATTCTAAAATGTACAAAAACCAGGAGAATTTTAATTGAACCGGTAGACCAGGAGAAACTGGCAAAATCCAGTAGAGTTGGCAGCTATGCATTACTATTAATTCTTAATGTGAAAAAAAAAAATCTGTCAACATTTGTCTTTAAGTTTTTTTTCCCTTTATTTTAGGAAAATTAGTTACTATTAGACGTGTAATATACTTTGAATTCTAAAAAAATATCTTTGTCCTAACGTCCTCTGAGTTAAAAAAGGATTTCTACCATCCTCCGAATTTGTTTTCGCCCATTTGAACAAAATTCAAAGCAAAGCTTAAAACATTTATACACAGAATTCATTTTGGATTAGTTATAAAAATGCCAGTGCAAAATCATGTTACGCTTTAGTTTTTTGAAGGAAAAATAAGAAATAATTTGTCATCAGTTTTGACGTTACTTTTCGACAGACCTTCCATACATATCTAGTTTAAAAATAAAATGACATATGTCTATAATAAGGAAGGAAATTTTGTTATTTTTATTTGAAAACATTTTTAAACGAACTGACATTTACAACAGAGCAATTTTCACTTTGCTTACCGATTGTATTATTTGAGAGATCTCGATTGAAAATCTTTTTTTGAAAAACTACTAACATTTGTATTAAAACTAGTTATATTTTAAAAACTACTAATATTAAAAAAATATTTCATTGCAGATACGTATAGTTTGTATTTAGAAAGCCTTTTTTTCTGCTTATTTTTTTTACTTCTTTTTTTTAGGGGGGAGGCATTAAAATTGGAAAATTAAGAGAAATTATAAAAAGGTTATAAAAGTTTCCCAAATTGTGCATGAAGTTGCATGTATAGAGAAGCCCTAATAAAGTAGAAGAACGCATAGAAAGCAAGAAATTTAATAAGAAATAAAAATAATAATAATATGAATTCATAAATCATAGTTCAAAATAAAAAAAAGCTACAGTAACAAATTTTAAAAAAAAGTATTGATGAATATAAATCATAAAAAGAATCCTCGAAATTGTATTCATTTAAACAACTATATAAAATTGTATTCATTTAAAAGCAACACAATTGGGTACCCGCACTTCAAGAAGAAGAAGATCACTACTACCCACACATGTGACCTATGACGACAGCTGATAAGTAAACGCTTATAAGCAAAATGGTTAGTTAAAGTTGAGCTAAGTTTCACTACA